AGTAGAGTACTCTTAGAAGTAGAGTACTCTTAGAAGTAGAGTACTCTTAGAAGTAGAGTACTCTTAGAAGTAGAGTACTCTTAGAAGTAGAGTACTCTACATTGACGAAATATACGCTAAAAATGGACGAAAAGTTAAGGCTACAGCCTTATTTTTTGCTGTTTTTTGCCCACTTGTGAAAAATGGCAAAAGACGCAAAAAATGGACGAAAAGTTAAGGCTATAGCCTTACTTTTTTGCTCTTTTTTGCCCATTTATGAAAAATGCAAAACGTCGCTAACTGAAATGGAGGAAAAGTTAAGGCTATAGCCTTACTTTTTTGCTGTTCTTTGCCCATTTATGAAAAATGGCAAAAGTCGCTAAAAATGGACGAATAGTTAAGGCTATATGGCAAAAGTGGCTAAAAATGGACGAAAAGTTAAGGCTATAGCCTTACTTTTTTGCTGTTTTTTGCCCACTTATGAAAAATAACATAAGTGGCTAAAAATGGACGAAAAGTTAAGGCTATAGCCTTACTTTTTTGCTCTACTTTTAAATCACTTTCCATGCTTTTATCCCTCAAAGAGTTGCCTGCGGAGGAGGCTAAGGGGCGGACCATTAGAAATCCCGGGAGGGGGGGTATAAAATTTTTGCGGCACGAATTTTTTTTTCAGTCTCGTGTCTCTGCAGGAATTTTTTTTAATGCATTTAACCTCTGCACGAATTTTTTTTCAAGACTATTTCTACTTCACTGTTTGCTTGCACGAATTTTTTTTCCCTGACTTAATGGCTGCACGAATTTTTTTTCCAGGCATTTTCCTTTGCACGAATTTTTTTTTGGGAATTTTCACCCCCCCTCCCGGGATTTCTAATGGTCCGCCCCTAATTGCAATGTATGTAGAGTGTTTCTCGACCAATCATCGCCAAAGTTCTAGGAAATTTTGGGCAAGTTAGGTTATTTTGAAGGAGACGATTTGGCATACCGGGGGGGGGAGGTCGAAGAACTTGGAATCAAAATATAAACAAAGACATTTTTTAAAAAAATATAAAGTTTATACTTTAATATTGCATTATTGCAAGCTTTGTTTTTCATTTTGGTACATCCCTAATATTTGAACAGAGACGATATAGAACTTAAATATTCAATATTCGTTGCTTATTTGTTGTTTTAAAAAATAAATTTTGAAGTTCAAAATCATGGCTGCCAGATATGTTACACGTGGGTCGAATATTCTAAGGTGTGCGTTGTTTCACAAGTACAGACAGAGTTTAGTGTACAGTGGAATGCGTGGCTTGGCTTCTGAGACGGAGTCTGCACAGGATGAATTTAAATTTGAAACTTTAACCGGCGATTTAGAGGGTAAGTAAAAGGTTATAGGAAATTGTTTTTAACACCCCCTCCCCATTGAATAAGTTATTACATTTTTCTGTACTTTTTCATTGATTTATTAAATGATTAAATTAATGTGCCTGACATTGCAACAAATATCCTGTTTTAATAATAAGGCTCTTTTCCACTTGCTGCAAAACCATGCATTTGTAAACCAATGTCAAGTGCTTCAAGCTTGCATTTAATTAAGATGACTTGCAAGTTGATTTTTGCAATCAGTGGAAAGGTTATAATGTCCGTCAGTGCTGTTTTATACTATTAAGCATAGTCCTAACATAACTCTTTGACTAAACTATTTGGTGACAATGCACCATTATTTTAGTCTGTTTAATTATAACCCTTTAGCCCTGATACTCTGTCTAATGCCAGATGGTTTTACTCATCAAGGGGAGAGTGTTGCCACTCAATGGGTCAACACCTGACTACTTATTTTTTTACTTGTCTAATGCCAGACGATTTTACTCATCAATGGGGAAACTCTGCAGCTTAATCGGTTAACCAAGAAATATGACAATGTCTCTAGTTAACCCATTGAGCCCCAGTGTGCCCTACTTATTTTTTACTTGTCTAATGCCAGACAATTTTACTCGTCAATGGGGAAGCTCTGCAACTTAATGGGTTAATCCTTTGTATTTGCTGTGTAGGTATTGCAGTATTTTCCATGAACAAACCTAATACAAGAAATGCAATTAGCAGGAATTTTCTCACTCAGGTTGGTTTAAGTTCTGTATTTTTCTAAGCAGCTGCATTCTGTATTGACCCACACACACAGAGAAAAATTTTGTATCTTGACCAGTGTTATAAACCAACTCTCTTGTGTTCATAGTTTCAAAATGCTTTGGACGCTGTGAAATTTGACAAGAATCTCCGAGCATTTATATTAAAGAGTGATGTCCCAGGTATATGTCAAATCATACTAGTTGTATTGACTGTATTTCCACTCGACTCTAAATCTCTCAAATGTTTCATCAGGTGCATTTTGTGCTGGTGCTGATCTCAAAGAAAGAGCAAAAATGAGGATGGAAGATGTCGGTCGGTTTGTTGCCACCGGGAGAAACTTGATAACCGACTTGCATGATTTACCAGTACCGACCATTGCCGCCATAGATGGTGTGGCATTGGGTGGTGGTTTGGAAATTGCTTTGGCTTGTGACATGAGGGTTGCAGGAAGGATGTCAAAAATTGGTCTTGTTGAAACACGGTTGGCCATCATTCCTGGAGGTGGTAAGTTTGTATGTGTTGTGCTATCTGAATAATCGAGTGTTGGTCATTATTGAGTATGCTTTGTACTAATTTTCAACAGGTGGCACTCAATGTCTGCCGAGATTGATAGGACCGTCAAAGGCAAAGGAACTGATTTTTACAGCTAGGATATTGAATGGGGAACAATCTGAGGAAATTGGTTTGGTCAACTATGTTGTTGATGAAAACCAAGCCTATAACAAAGCTTTAGAAATTGCCGCAGAAATATTGCCGCAAGGTCCAATTGCTCTGAAGATGGCCAAAACTGCTATAAACCGAGGCATGGAGGTAGGAGTGAGATCAGCAGTTGGACAATTGTGTTTAGATAGTGATTACAGTTAGGGAATATTTGTCTTTTTCAGGTTGACTTGGTATCTGGTATGAAATTTGAAGAAGCTTGTTATGCACAGGTAATATAGCAATTTCATCACCATTATAATCATCACAACTACTATCATCCTTGACACCACCATCATCAACACCACCATCATCACCACCAACATCATTATCAACACCACCATTATTATCATCAACGGCAACATCCTCATCATCACCACCACCATCATCATCTAGCGTATCCCTAAAAATTGTTCCTTTTGGAATATCACAATAGTAGAAAGTTTCGCATGATTTACGATTTCTGCGCAAGGCATTTCGATTGGGTAGAAGCACAAGGGTGTGTACATGTTCATTCAAGGGGAATCCCCATTAAAATTACATACTGCAGCATAACAATAGCGATTTATTTTGCCAAGGTTTATGCATATGTTTAAATCCCAAACTCGGAACACATGTAAATTATGTTAGTTGTACCTATTTTTAAAAGGAACAACAATCGCAAAGGAACAAATTGTTCCTACTTGAATTGAGTTGTTCCGTTCGCTTTATGTTCCACAAATCGGAACGGTTTAAAAAGGAATTGAATTAGGAACCCTTAATTCGTTCCTTTTCATGGTCCTTTGTTGAGGACCAAAATGTTCCGCGAAGCGGAACATCAATACATAATAGCGTTTATTTCCTGTTATTGTTCTCCCTTATGCGCATTTCGTTCCCTTTTATTGTTCCCTTTTATTGTTCCCTTTTATTGTTCCCTTTTATTGTTCCCTTTGAAAACAAACATTGCTGCTATTTAAAATATGGCGTTTATTTTGTAAAAGCCTAATATATTGCAATTGAGAGTATTAATCTGGCATCTACCTATACAAAGTTGACAAAAAGCCTATAACAAATAAGAAGCTATTAACAAGCTAAATGATTATAAGTTGTATAGTATATTTAATGAAATGCCCTTGCCAAATTAAATTGATGCACTTTGCATACTAATGCTTATCGTGGTGACTATAAAAACCAAAGTCTTTATCGCTAAGCATTTGTTAAAGTTTGATGTTTGCACGCAAAAAAGCTGAAATAGATTGGAAGTTAGTAGACGGTGCATTTACGAAACAGAGACGATTGCATTTGGTGAAAGGCAGCGATGGGCTAGACCATTGTCCAATAACAGGTTGCGAGCATCCAGGATTTTCTAGTCAAAGAGGTTGTCGTAAACATGTGAAAATAAAACACGGTTGGTATTACTATTTTGACGAGAAACCGAACGTATCCATCGACACTTTGGTCACTTCGCAGTCTGCGCTGAATGGAATTGATGAAAAAGGTTCCAAAACAATTCCTAGCTGCTCTACAGATAATGATTTCGCACGTTCGTTTTCGCAGTGGCTTCAAAGTAGCTGTGGGGGAGGGAAATCTCGTAAACAATCAGACATTTCTGTCACGAGAGCTTTAAAGTTTGTCAAGTTTTGCTGCGACGAGAGTGGCGACGCCGAACAAGACGTGTTAAGTTCTCCAAATTTGATCGATTACGTGTTGGGATCTCCACAACTCTTGACAAAATTCGTCGACTGTCTGAAGGACAAATGGGGTATTGGTCAATCGGGACGGATAGCGTACGTTGGAAGCATATCAGATTTGCTGGACTTTCGTAAATTCAATCGTCCACCTGCATCAGTTCTTCAAAACTTTGCTGTTACCGAGGGTTATGTAAAGAGAGCGCGAAAGTGCTTAGCAAAGGACATGAGATCAAATTGGACAACCGAATTAGACGTAGAAACCCTAGAATCGCGTAGAAGTTGGGCAACACTTTCCGAAGTTCAATCAGTAATTCCATTCCACATGGAACGTTATGAATCAGTGTT